AGCTACATTAGGAGCTATAGGGCATGGCTACACTTGCAGATGTAGAGTGCTTTGAGTTAAACCAGCCTTCGTAGAGCGCAGTAGGGAAAGCAAAACAATCTGTCCACACTGACAGCTGCAAGCGCACTGGCGTGGCCACATTAGCAGCTCTTGCAACGACCACAGAGAGCAGTGCATTGTGGTAGCTATCCCAGCATGCAAGTGGCTGGCACGTACTTTTCAAATGGGGGTGGAGCGGAGTGTGACAGGTAGTGTGTTGTGTGTATGTGGGGGGAGAGAGAGTGGGTTTTGGGGGGGACTGAGAGCATGTCAGCATGCTGTCTTGTAAGTTCAGACAGCAGCAGACCCCTCTTCCGCCCACCTCTCTCGCTCACACACAGCATTCCACACTAATGGTTGCTTTGTCTCAGAGAAGATTAGCAGCCAGCTGTCAGAAACGGAGCTTTCAAAGGGCATATCCGCATTCCCGCAGTGATTCCAAAACAATGAGAAGAGTGGCCACTTCACTTAAGGGGACTATGGGACGTTTCCGGAGGCTGATCAGAGCGCAGTAATGCAACACCTTGTTCACTCTGATGCCCGGGCATTTCAGCCAAGGCTCAACAAGCGTTAATCTTCTCGCCGAGGTGGAGTACCAGGAGCGCTCTAGCCATAGAGTCAGAGCGCTCTACGTGTCTTGCCATTGTGAACGGGTAGTGAGCTAGGGCACCCGGGGCTACTTTAATGCGCTCTAACTCACAAGAGTAGCCAAGCCAATAGAGGCTGCATTATGGCTAGCTATAGTGTGGAAATTTCATCACAAAGATATTTTCCTACTAAATTAGACTCTGAATTGGCATTATTATTTGTATTACAGTAGCACTTAGAGCCCCAAATGAGATCATGCTCCTACAGCGAGGTGCTGTATGAAGATATTGTAAGAGAGAATCCTTGCTCCAAAGAGCTCAGAGTCTAAACAGACTTTCCCCATTTTATTTGTAGGAAACTGAGGCCCAGTGAAACTAACATTATATCAGCACTGGAGCTAGAAAGTGCAATTTCCATCTCTGGTAGCCAGACCCATGTGAGCTCTGATTGAGCTTGCACACTAAAAATAGAAGGGTAGCTGAGGTAGCACAAGGGCTAGCTGCCCTGAGTACAATCCCATCTGAGACCCTAGGGCATGTATTCAGGGGAGCTAGCCTGTCCCATGCTCATGCTGCCATGACTATGCTGCTCTTTTTAGCAAACTCACTCTACCAGAGCTATTGTGAGTATGTCTCCCTAAGCTGGAAATTTTACTTTCCAGCTTCACTGTAGACATGCCCTAAGTGACCTGCCCAAAGATACACAGGAAGTCTGCGGTAGAACCAAGAAATTAAGCCAGGTTTTCTAGACGCCAGTTCTTGGCTTTAATCACAAAGCCATCTTTACTCTCTCTAAGGAAAAGCTTCTCTCAGAGATGAAAATATATTTACAATTATATAGCCGTTTTCATCTGAGGATATCAAACTGTTGTATAAACATTAACTAAATAAGCCTCACACCACCCCTCTGAAGTCAGTGAGTAGCATACTCATGTTACAGCTGGCTAAACAGCCGTGTTTGTGCCTCAATTGCTAACAGACCCAAGCACCCTAAATTCCAGTTCTCGTCTCTGTCAACTTGAGAACATGCCTGATAAATGTTACTGCTATTGTGGATGTCACCTTGCTTCTTATTGTTTCCTTAGGGTTTGGCCACACAGCAAAAAACAACCCACAGCAACGAGTCTCAGAGCTTAGGTCAACTGTCTTGGGCATGCAGGGCTTGTGCTACAGGGCTAAAAATAGCTATGTAGACATTCCTGCTCCAGCTGGAGCATGGGCTCTGAGACCCACCAGGTTTCAGAACCTAAGCTCCATCCCAAGAAGGAACATCCACACTGCTATTTTTAGCCTCATAGCCTGAGCCCCAGTTAGTTGACTTGGGCTCTGAGGCTCGCTGCTGTGGGTTTATTTTTTGCAGTATAGACATGTCCTGTCTCCCTTGCATTGAGGAATGTTTCATGGGCTTGTGTACTGGTTTTTTTTCCAAGCTACAAGTTGCAGCTCTTCCAGCACAAAGAAAATAGGAAATCGATTCTCCCCACACACAGTTTCTTGGGGCTTCAAATGAAAACTGGGAGGAGGCTGAGGAGGAGATAGCATGTTGCTGTGCTGCAGGCTTTCCACTGATCCATGTCTACATCAGGTGGAAGACTGATTCCAACCAGCAAGCTAGGAGTGGGTTTGGGGTCTTTTTATTAACAGGAGTTGTAGATGCCTAGCAATTCTGAAGATCAGGTCCAGAGTGTCTCAGGTTTGGCACCCAAAAACCGATACCTATAATACATAGTCATTTAGAAAAAATAATTTTGACTTTAGCCTCTTTACCTCAGTTACTCCATCTGTAAAGTGGGGATGAGAAAATTTACTAACCTTGTTGCTCTAGGTAGTGTAGCCTAGGAGATAGTACAGTGGACAGTAGTACTCTGGAGACCTGGCTTCTATTCCCAGCTCTGCCACTGGTCTGTTGGATGACCTTGGGCAAGTTATTTTACCTCTCTGGGCCTTGGTTTCCCCATCTGTAAAATGGGGATAATGATTCAGATATCCTTTACAAAGTGTTTTGGCCTCTACTGATGAAAAGTCCATATAAGAGCTGGATATTGTTATTGAAGTACAATGTATTATAGCAACAATAGTTTAGTTAAAGTTGCATTTCAGCTCCCATGCTAAGCCCCGTTTTTTCAGTTGGCCGCAATGTGTGTACATGCATATGCTAGAGTTGGGACAGACAGTTTGCAGGAATGAACTGTTAGAAGGAGCCAAGCCTGTGAACAAGGCTTAGGCTGGGGGTTTCATGTAGTAGTGATCTAGAATTACCCTTCTGTTATTAAACCAAACTCCAGGAAGAATGACATTTTCCCACCTTGAGTGTGTAGGTTTTTTTAGGCCTGGGGTGGGGGGATGTTTTCACCAATTAATTTCATGCCAGAACAAAAGCCACTGCACAAACATGTCTATACATTTCTAACACTTCTCTGATGGTTAGAGAATAACTATTAATAAGATCCTACGAATAACAGTAAATCACACTTGGGGATTGAATCCATGAATATGTTTGCAAATTTCCTATTGATCAACTCTTTGTAGGAATAGCTCTTACTCACTGGCAGTATCACTTTAAGACATTCCAAAGCAGCATATCAGAAGAGGACACTAACAGCACCTGCTGATATTAAACAACCTTTCAATCCATTTATCAACATTCTCATCCTTCCCCATTCAAAGCAGCTGAAACAATAACTATCAATAAAAGAAAATTAATTGATATGAAGAGCATATTAAAAGCCAATAATGCAATGTGACTGATTCTCCCAAACTCCTCTTTGAAATCAGCAGGCCTCAGATTTTCTACATCCATGAATGAAAAGTAACTAGCTAGATTATATTAATAATGTGAACATTTTATTAAATATCACCTTGCCTCAAGGCAGCTAACAGTAGTCCCCAATACAAATCTTTTGTTGTTGTTTCTGTAGACTCTTGTTTGACAATGGTGCAATTTATATTTATTTATATATATAAATTGCACCATTGTCAAACAAGAGTGTGTGTGTATATATATATATATATATAAAAATAATTTATGCTTTACTAACAGGACCTATATTAACATTGTAAGCAGTCTGGCATGGGGGGAAACAAAAAGGTCAGTCTGCTTGTTTGGAAAGGTCTGCAGTGCCATATCTTAGTGTTTATCCAGAATAAATGGAAAGGGAATGGTCAGGAGGGATGAAAACAATAATTTATAGCTTGAAATAGAAATATGGTTGAATTCTTGTAGTGGTAAAGGGTGTTTAAAAGTAAGTTACAGCAATGGGAATGTTGCTACTGAACTGCAATTTCACCTCTCCCTCTCAGAATCTGCAAACCCTTCAATACTACTCTGTGAATCAGGGAATTTATTATTATTAATAATAATATTACATTTGAGTCTATAGGCCTCAGCCAAGATTTGGGCCCCCTTTGTGCTAGGCATTGTATATACAATGTGCTCCAAAGAACACACAGAAAAGTTGCTGATAGATCAAAAGGCTCAGCATGAAAACCTGCTCCCTATTGATCATTAGATTGAAAATATCAACGAGCAAGGCCACTGCAACCCCATACCACACACTGGTCTAATCCCAGAACAAAGCAGGTCAAGGAAACTTGATCAGATAATTTCCTTGCGAAAATCTCACCAATAATACTTAAAAAAAGAATGATAAACAAAATGATAATTGCTAAGTTCATCAATGTCAAGAGAGGGTTTCTTGAGCATAGGCCTAACTGTTGCTCACTTGACAGATACTGGGATCTGATCTGCATGAGAAGATCTTTGCACTCACATACTACCCCACTTAAGTTAATGAGGCTCCATGCAAGAACATAAGAATGGCCATACTAGGTCAGAGCAATGTTCCATCCAGCCCAGTATCCTGTCTTCTGACAGTGGCCAATGCCAGGTGCCCCAGAGGGAATGAACAGACCAGGTAATCGTCAAGTGATCCATCCCGTCACCCATTCCCAGACACAAAAGTCCAACTGTGCAGATCTAATTTGCAGGATCAGAACGTTTATTTCTACTGGTTGTGAGGACACTGGACCTGACTCTTCTCTCACTTGCATTGGTTTTACACTTGTGTAATTGCATTGATTTCCCTGGGTTTACACTTGATTTACACTAGCCTGACAAAGAAGAAAATTAGCCCAGCTGAGTGAATGTGAAGAAGGAAGAACCAAAGAGAACACCAAAGTGAAGGGGAGGAGGAAACAGATGAATAAAAAATGGGGAGACGTAATGAAGTAAAAGATTATTTCTATATTTTAAAAAATTAAATTTACAATACTGCCAACCCAAAGTATTGAAAAAGCACAAGACAAAAAATCATGAGATTGGCTTGACAATCTTGAAATTGTAAAAAGGAATACATTTTGCGTCTTTTTACTTACCTTCAGGTTTTTGAGCCTCCTAGGGGTCACATTTCAAACTTTTCCCCGCAATCAGGAGGGCTAGAAGCTTACTTTCTTTAAAATGAAAGATGAGCATCTTGTGTAATCACCTGACTCTGGAAGCTGGGGGTTAAAGAAAAAAAACACTCATGAGACTCGATGATAAGATTGTGAGAATTGACAATACTTCATTTAGCATGGAGTGGTATCTTATTTGACTTGCTGTCAATGGTATTCATAATACTTATATGGCAGTAAATGTATATTTACTAGTCCTACTGAACTACTCTCAGTAGTAAAGCTAAGCATGTGCATTAGTGTTTGCAGGATTGGTGCCTCTGTGTCTATTGAAATGCTGTGTTTATGTGCTAATCAATTTATCCAGTGTACCTGGAGTCCTCCATGTCACAGTTGAGATACAAGAGCAGGACAGCACGAAGATGTTACTGCTGCTTGCATTTCACCTGTTAAGTGGATAACAGAGCAGATCAGAAAACTGAAATTTTCCTCTGAGAAATTTTGAATGATATTATTCAGAAACAAATGTTTTTCAATATTTTCCTGCTAGAAGTTTCAAAACAGTTCAGAATGACAATGTTTGTTTTGTTTTGGTTTAAGATGTCATTTTCATTGCTTTAAACCAGAAAACAAAATATTTTAAGTTGAAACAAAACAAAACTTGTTGTTTTGAATCAATATTTGAACATAACATAGCATTTTGTTTTAGTTTTTACAAACTTCAAAGCTGAAATGAAATGTGATTTTTAAAGTAAAAATGAAATGAAAAATATTGTTTCATTTCAAAATGGTGAGTTGACACAAAGATTTTTTTGTTTTGACATTTCATATGGGAAAAATAGCAAAACTTTTTGCCAGAATTGACAATTTCCCATGACGTTTTTCAATTTTTATGAAACTGTGTTATTCAGCAGGAGCATTTACTTGATGAGAAATTTCAGACAATGCATAACTAGACCTCTCTCTCCAGGACTGTCATTCCAGCACATCTCCCCAGCAAAGAATAAGAAAATATTAAAATAAATAACATGTATGCACCAGAGTAACTTTATGGAGGGAGCAGTAGCCCAACTGAAGAAAATGGAATTAGTCGAATGTGTTAAGTTACTCACAAGTACAAGTGTTTGCAGAATTGAGGCCTAAGATTGATACTTTGAGGTTTTAAATGTGAGGGTTTTTGTTGTGAAGCACTTAGCACACTGTTGGGTGCTTTAAAATAATAATAATATTGAATTCACAGTTTCTTGGTTTGCATTCTTCACCAATATGTCTGCAAAACTGGGTTTTAATGAGTGGATCACTTTTAAACCACAGTCTGTGATACAAATGATTATTGTTTTTTAAACCACATAATTTCCCCCCATTCTAATTATAGGGCTGATAATTTCTGTGACAATATGCATACCATTGTGCAGCCTTAACAAAAAGCTGGCCTGAGACGAAACACAATTCAGAAGCAGTTGATTCCAGTGTTCAATACATCTACTAAATAATTCAGTATCACTAATGGAAGTCTGATCTTAGTGGAGAAGCAGACTTCTGTGGGCACTCACTGCTGGTTTTGGCAGCCAGACCCTGGAGAACAGCAATGGAGCAAAAGGTGAAAAAATCTTTAACTGTTCTTGTGTTCTCTTTTCTGCTTTCCTGGAATTATATTATTTCTTCCTGGTGGCGGCTGCAGCTGAGAGTCGAGTGGGTGAGAGAAAGAAATTGATATTTACAGTATGTCTGAAACCAACAAACAAAGTTCAAACCAAGCTGACCTATTAACTGGCATGTGTGTCTTGTTTGGTTTTAGAAATGCATGGCATCTTTCTGCTAAGTGATGGGAACAAAGGCAATGAAACACTTATTGGGGGCAAACTGCACAAGGTATTGCCTCCAAATTTCATACTCAGGTTTTAGGGCTAGAATTTTCAAAGGAGTCTAAGGAGGTGAGGTTCCCAATTCTCATTGAAAGTTGGGTGCCTAACTCCTATTCACACCTTTGGAACTCCTTGCCTGCAGGTGCTGAGCATCTACAACTCCAATATAAGTCAAAGGGAGCTAAGGGTGTGCTCTTAACACCTTACAAAGGAAAATAATCAGCAAGATGAATTCTAATATGAAAGGGCTTCTATTTTTAGGTGCACTCAAGATTCCCAATACTGATTATCTTTAGGAAAATCCATCCCTTCCAAAAATACTGTGAACATCAGCTGGTGGAAATATTTGGGGTCATTTACTATGCATTACCATTGTGCATCAACAGTCAAAAAAATCTGTATAACTTGTTCCCTTGATTTTTGCTCATTTCCTTTCTAAAGGGAGCAGTCTTCACAACTCTTCTTTCCCTCTTGGAGACACTGTTTCAGTCAGTGAAGAGGCTACTCGAAAGTAAAGGTTTGACACCTGTAGCTGCTAACCCATTCTTTATCTTTGTTTTTGTTTTTTACCAGTCTAAAACTGATAGCTACAAACAAACCATAAGGGAAAAGATTTAAAACCTAGCCAGAGACAGCAGGTTTCTCTAGTAGCCTGTAAGCAAGATCTCTTTTTTAGTTAAATTTAGATTCCTTGTGTGTCTAGACCAGATTATTAACAACCAAGGGCTGCCTTTCAGCATAGATTTTTTATCCTTCACGTTACCCAGACTTAACTCTTTGCCTTCATGTCCCCCTTTCCATCATCCAAGAAGACCATCTAGATGCAGGAAATAAACCATTGTTTGGGACGGGTGAAATAACAGGAGACAAGATGGTGAAGCAGAACTTGGCAGAATCCACTGGCTGCATCTAACAAGGAGAATATTGTTGCACCAGTTAACTGGTCAGACTAGATCTTCTATGGTTCCTTATCACCATTCTTCTCCATGCTGTCCAGTTGATTCTGTCCCATCTTGCTTTAAGTACTTTGGGAGGCCCACCTCACTAGCTGTGAGACTGTCTAGAAAGTCACTTGTCATAGGCCTATTAATGTTAAAGGTGTCAAACATTGTAGGCTCTTTGGAGCAGGAATATGTCTTACTATGTTTATACAGTGCATAGCACAATGAGGTCCTGAACTCAGTTGGCACCTCTAGGTGCTACTGTGATAAAAATAATATTAATAATGAAAACCACACATATTACTTAACTTTCCAGAATTGAGGTGCTTTCATTTTTGATTAGAGTTCCTTCAGACCTTAATTCATTTACAGTTGAACAGATGCATAATCATGTATACAATTGAGTCTTTAGCCTCTCCAAATCCTAATGCAAGTCACATCACCCAAGATTAGAATTTGGTTCAATGTGTGTGCTCAGTTTCAGCAAATTCAGATCTGAGATGTGGTGGGGGAGGTACCAGGGATTGCTGAAACTGGGGGAAAGTGTCAGCTGAAACTGTTTTAAAGTGGAAAATTGGGTTTTCAACAAAATGAAAATTTTAATGGAAAGTGACTGCTTTCTGCAGAAAAATTCTCTCTCTCTTTAAAAAAAACCTAAAAAACCTCAGTTTTCCTTTTTTCAACAAAAAATTGAAATTTTCTGTAGGGGGAAACATATTTCTGACCTGCTGTATGTCTCAGTTTTCTCTTTAGGCCACAGAAAAATGTACGAGTCAATCTGCAACATTCTTCCCTTGTCTCACCAGTCTGCTCCAACCTCACTCTTCATCCAGAGTACACAGCAATCAGATGAACAAATCTTTGAGGTGTCAAACATTCTAGGCTATTTGGGATAGGGAATGTCACTTACTAGGTTTGTACAGTGCTTAGCATAATAGGGCCCAGCTCTCAGGTGGAGCACTCCAGGGACTGCACAAGCCAGCTACTAAGTATCCCTCTTTATTGTTGTTGTCTTGCATAATTTTCATCACACAATGAAGAAGTAGATTTCTCACTGCTCTCCTGGCCATTTGACTCCAGAGAAGCCTGGCTTATGTTGCTAGCCCAGCTGCTAGAGAGAACTGTTCTATCTGAACCAGTCTACTATTTTGTGTTGATGATCAAAGTTGTTTGTCTTCAGTGACACTGCTATCATTAAATCCCGCTGTGGCTGTGTGATGAAAGCAAAGGAAGAAATGGAAGGGATTAGTTTACTGCACCCAGAAAGAATCCAGGTGGGTGCAATTATCTAGTCTGGGATTTACTGTACAGTGCCTTTTATTGTTACAGGTGGAAGGTGTTAGATGATGCAATATACACTTTTGCCAGACAGAGGACTTTCTTAGCTAATTTCTCTAGAAACAGGAGAACCTGAACTGCATTTCTGCACTAACTTGGAATAGGACCCAACATTTATGACCCCAGAAAGAAGACCAAAACCCCAAATGCGGTGTGCCTTTATAGCCAAGAAATAGTCTCACTCTAAGGTTTAGAAATTAGAAAGAATATGCCTGACTTTAGAATGTCAACTACCTTTTAAATTCAATTGGGGAGCATTCTCATTTAACAGATGCAATGAGGCTAAAAATGGGGAAAGCCTGCCTTAAAGTGAAAGCAGTCAACAGAACTAGAAGTGATGAAATTCCATGAGAAAATAAGTTGTTTCGTAGTATTTTCAGCCTAACTGGAAATTAAAAGTACCAGACATATTTTTCTTTCAATGTTTCCAGCCCAATTCTGGACAGCCAAGAGATTCAAATAAGGTTGGATTCAAAGCCCAGTTAACTTAACGTCGTCTGGACTTCCATGGGCTTTGGATCAGGCCCATAGTGCCAAAAAGTGAAATAATTCTTTGTGTCTGAAATTTCCGAGATTTGTTCATGGTTACCTGGGACATAAATGTGAATCTCCCATGCGCTGTGGCTGACTGTGAATTCACTCTTTGTGTGTGCACACTGCAAACAGCAAGATAGATGCAATCGGATTTTTTTTTTAAAAAAAATAAGTTACCTGGCACAGGGGCTCGCAGACGCTAGCCCTCCTGACCCAGTACATTATGGTGCTGACACTGCATCTCCAATTAACAGAACTGGGGGAACTATCACCATCAGACGAGGGTTTTGCAGAGCGTCTCTTTCCCAGCAAAGCTCTACTCTTTGCTCACCTGGGCCACAGTGCCCACAACATATGAAACTGCAGAGGAGGGATGCTACCCGGCGGCTACCTTTCCTTAGCACGAACCGAGGACCTCAAATCCGGCACCTCTCCGAGTCCTAGCCCCTCTCCTATTCCTCTGCCTTCCTCCAGTCCCGGTGGGCGAGACTGCCCCGGGAGTGACCTGCTTTTAATCAGCTTCCCAAGCAGATCACATGAGTGCAAAGTGCTCTCTCGCGCCCTGCCTCCCCCCTCGCTCGCTCGCTCGCACTCCGCGAGCGACTGAGCCCAAGCGAGGAGCGGCGAGTTGCCGGCCTCGAGCCGCCCAGTCTTGGCGAGACAATCCCAGCCGGAGGGGGAACGCGGGGGCGGCGAGAGGAGCCCCCAGATCCAGCCCGCAAGAGAAGCGAGCCCACAGGCAGCCGAGCCCACCGCCCGTCCCCCCGCGCTGGAGGCAGCTTGGCCGACAACTCCACGTCCGTCGAAGTGGGTTTGCTGGGGCGCGCGTGTCAGAGGCTTGCGCCCGAGGCGCTTTCTTCGGGCGCACCGCAGGGCTTCTCGCGGAGACAGGCGGCGGCGCGGGGGAGAGGCGGGCTGAGCGCGGGGCGCCGCGAACGCGCGTGCGGCTCTCCCTCCGCGGGAAGCGGGCTGGGCTCCCTCCGCGGCGCCCGTCGCGGCTCCTCAGAATCTCAGGGTGGGCAGGGACCTCTGGAGGTCATCCAGTGCAACCCCCTGCTCAAAGCAGGGCCAAGCCCCAATTTTCTTTGCCCCAGGTCCCTAAATGGCCCTCCTCAAGGATTGAACTCGCCACCCTGGGTTTAGCAGGCCAATGCTCAAACCACTGAGCTATCCCTCCCCCAAATCTGTTGAGTCCCAGGGAGGGAACTGAGCGGTGCTAGGGGGGGGCCGGAGAGCATAGCTCTGGGCATTCCTGGTGGGGTGTCTCCTCTGCACACACCCTCCCCCCCCCCCCCCGCCTCCTGGGGCCAGCTGGTGTCGGGCAGGGGTGCTTCTTCTCCAGGGGATGTGGTGGCCAAGGAGCTCTGGACTCGCCCAAGGGACCAAAAGAGAAGAAGCCTGGTTTTTCTTGGGGAAAAAAGAGCCCCCCTCCACCTGCACCCCTCCGGTGACTTGGGGCTGTACGTGAAGGTGTTCCCCAGCCACCTGTATCCGCACCCCAGCCTGCTCCCCGCCACCATGCAGACACGGGACTCGGCGGCAGGAGCCTCAAAGGAGACCCCGAGAAGTGCCGCCCCCGTGAGTAGCACTGACTGACTCCAGGGGGATGATCTCTCTAACCCCTGCACCACAAGCTGCTCCAGCTCCCGCGCCTGGCTGGCTCTGCAGGCTGCTGCCTTCCAGGCCAGGGGGCGGCCGCTGAGGATTACTCTGCAGGCTAATAGGATAATGGAGCAGTTCCATGCTCTCAGCTCAGCGCGGATTTGAGGCAACTGCACAGCTCCGTTTAGCCACTTGATCCTAACTTGGCATGAAAGTTATGTGGCAGTATTGAAAAGCTAAGGGGCAGGAGGGGGAACTTTACAAAGTGTAAAGAAAAAAATGTCAGTATCTGCCAGCAGAAAGTGTGCTCAAGAGGAAGGCCAGCAGTTTGCACCTAGGATCGGAAACCTGCTGTGGATGCCCTTCTTACCTGGGGTCCCGCAGGGATCAGTTCTGGGTCCGGTTCTGTTCAATATCTTCATCAATGATTTAGATAATGGCATAGAGAGTACACTTATAAAATTGGGGGATGATACCAAGCTGGGAGGGGTTGCAAGTGCTTTGGAGGACAGGATTAAAGTTCAAAATGATCTGGACAAACTGGAGAAATGGTCTGACATAAATAGGATGAAATTCAATCAGGACAAATGCAAAGTACTCCACTTAGGAAGGAACAATCAGTTGCACACATACAAAATGGGAAATGACTACCTCGGAAGGAGTACTGGGGAAAGGGATCCGGGGTTCATATTGGACCACAAGCTAAATATGAGTCAACAGTGTAACACTGTTGCAAAAAATGTGAACATCATTCTGTGATGTATTAGCAGGAGTGTTGTAAGCAAGACACGAAAAGTAATTCTTCTGCTCTGCTCCGTGCTGATTAGATGTCAACTGGAATATTGTGTCCAGTTCTGGGTGCCACATTTCAGGAAAGATGTGGACAAATTGGAGAAAGTCCAGAGAAGAGCAACAAAAATGATTAAAGGTCTAGAAAACATGACCTATGAAGGAAGATTGAAAAAAATGGGTTTGTTTAGTCTGGAGAAGAGAAGACTGAGAGGGGCATAACAGTTTTCAAGTACATAAAAGGTTGTTACAAGGAGGAGGGAGCAAAATTGTTGTACTTAACCTCTGAGGATAGGATAAGAAGCAATGGGCTTAAATTGTAGTAAGGGAGGTTTAGGTTGGACATTAGGAAAAACTTCCCAACTGTCAGGGTGGTTAAGCAGTGGAATAAATTGCCTAGGGAGGTTGTGGAATCTCCATCATGGGAGATTTTTAAGAGCAGGTTAGACAAACACCTGTCAGGAATGGTCCAGATAATACTTAGTCCTGTCATGAGTGCAGGGGACTGGACTAGGTGGCCCCTCGAGGTACCTTCCAGTCCTATGGTGCTAAGGTGCCAGCAATATCCTCACTTTGATCCCAGAGACTTAGAGCCAGGCTCTATGCTCTGGTAAGCACATTAACTCTGTTTGACTGTAATGGGAGTTAACCTGCTTATCGCAGAGAAATATTTGACCCTTACTTTACTGCCACTAAAATAAGTAACTGCAATAGGCACTGATGAATCAGTTGTAGAGTTGTTATTGCTAGTTTGTTTTAAATCTTAAAGGCTTGGGGGGAAGGGTTGGGAAAACTGGGCCAAACTCTGCTGTCGGTGAGAGTGGTGTAAATACAAAGTAACACCATTGACTTCTAAGTGAGAATATAACTCCTCCCATTGAGTTTAGAGATAATTCTGTTGATATATCATATTGGTTTCTGTCATTTGTCTTCCTTATATATATTAGGGCTATTTACATGCAAAGGGAATCTTTTCACTTCATTGAAAGTTCATCTGCTCCTGTTGCTTGCTCTCTACCTGAGGTCACATTTCTCAGTTTTTGACATCACAGGGGGTTGCTTTAGAGATGAATGAATAATAAATTTGTGGAATGTTCTGAAGCTTAAATTCCACCAGGAATTAAGCCTGCCGTGACCATGTCCACTTGGTCTTGTTTATAAGCAGTGTGAAATTGTATATATTATGTCTTTTTCCTATGCAATACCCTTACAACTGTGGCCAGAAGAGTGGGTCTAACTAGATCCAGCGTACTTTAAGTCAGAGGAGCAGGTGGAAGGACATTTTAGCCAAAGGTTCTTCAGCTCTGAAACTTGCTACCTTTCCCTTGTTCCATCACAGCTTCAGTTTTGTATTGTTCTGAGCCTGTTGCAAAGTTCAGCTTTTGGGGTAGCTAATGGATTGAGGGAACAGGTATGCTTGTAGGTGCAGGCTATTCTAAGGGGACAGTTGTTTTTATGTACCTTTTGAATGTTGCATGACAGCTGCTGTACAATGGGAATGTTACTTTTTATTGTCTATTATAAACACCTCACCCCCCAAAAACAACACTGAAATATCCATCAACAGAAATGATCCAAAGGGAAACTTCCTTCCAGAAAAGGCAATATGTAATTTGTGACATGGTAAAGCTGTTGTTGTAAGTTTGATGGAGGGGAAAGGAAAAGTTATCCAGCTAGAAGGAAAATGCTCTGCATAACTTAATGACCATCTATACCGGCAAGTATGTGTGGAGGGACAAGTAGAAAGTTGGTGTCTCTCTGGACTAAGTTCCTTAGCAATTGGGACCTTATCCAGCACTCACTGAAGAGAAAGGAAAGACTCCCTTTGTCTTTAGTGGGCTTTGGAGCAGGCACTTGGACAGAAAGGTGGGAGGGAAATTTGTCACTGGCTTCAGTTTGTGTCTTTTACAAAGGGATACATTCTTTGTTTGTTTTTATTTTTGTCACTAGCATCTTCCTTCCCTCTCTGGCAAATGGTGCAGACAAGGGAGGCCTTCATTGCTAACATGGGCACTTCCTTGCTTGACTTGTGGGAGGTGCTGTCTGACTTCCAGCAGCATCACTTCCACCAAAATATGTCACAGCTAGATCTGATCTCCCTTCTCTTGGTCTCGCTGAAGTCTGTTAGATCGGAGTACTCTCATAGAAGAACTGTCCTTTCTACATGAGCTCTGAAAACATACTGATTTGACACACACGCTCTGTGGTATTTTAAAACATTTGTGCAGTGCCTTAGTGGGGTTATGACTTATATAGAGAATTACAATGCAACACTGAGTCACTATGGAGGGAACTTGCTTTGCTCATGAACCTTGTCTTTCTCCACAGGCCACCTCCCTTGCATATATTGTCCATAAGTTTGTGGTGTTTTCTATGGGAGCAGGTCTGTGACTAACAGTGTAACCTCCGCTTCAGTATTTATGGCCTTTTGCTGACTGGTGCATCAAAAGCATTTTTCTCTTAGAGGTTTAGTTTCAGGGCTTTAATTGAGGAAATCTTTTTATGTGTCAAGCCTCTTCTTAATAAACCATTTAAAATGCTGTCCTGGGATCAAACCAGGTCACTGTAACACATACACAGTGCTCTTCATATGCTTAGAGTGACCAGCACTTGGTCAATCCATATCCTTGCTTTGGTTGTCTCTGATTTATCCTCCTTGGACTGCCTTGTTTACAGGGAGTTCATGTTGCAAGTTATTCACAATTCTTGGCATGCTGGGCAGCTTCAAACTTAAACTGCAGCCTCATTTTCCATCCAGTCAATACCATACTTTTATGTGTCTGAGTTTCTATGGTGCCATCAAGCTCCTAGCTAGATATTGACATCTGACAGCAGGAATATCATTCTGTGTTGCTGTGTATATTTAGTGAAACTATCAGAGCCATTTAGGGTGTGCATTTCTAATTTATATCCATATCCTGATATCATTAGTTAGCGCTTGTTAAGCGTTGCCTGATGGCCCTGATTATATAGAGAGTCAACAGCAACTATGAACTTCAGATATTGCTTAGGCAATAGGTGTTTTGAGATAAGCAGAAGGGCCCATATTTTAGGTTAGTTTGGGCAATTTAGCATCACGTAGACACAAAGGATAACATTTTAAAAAATTCCAAAGTCCCCGATGGCTGCTGTCACATAGGTATTTTTGAAAATCTTCTCAATTGTGACTTTCTGAATATTAGTAC